ACCCAGTAAACTCGAACTCGCGACCTTGCGATTGTGACCCGGGAGCGCTAACCACTGCGCTATCGACCCACGGGTCTTACACAAAATTTTGTAATTTGATTGGTTAAATTATAAAATATAACAATTTTATTAATATTTTTATATAACTTAAATGAATATCCTGTCTAAATGAATACAAAATTTGTCCACCGACCATATTCATTTAGACAGGTTTGACTGTAGATCCTATTCGTAAACATCACCATCCGCCCATATGTCTTGCTGTTCATGCAAGATCTATACATAGAATATTCTCGAACCTCACTTAAATGATGTTTTTTTTGAAGATATTGAATATACGGGAAAGACCTAGAAACAATAATCGGACCCAAAATTTTTTGATGGCGGTAACTAATTTTTGTTATTAAAACTCTCCTTATTCCCTCCGAGATCGAAAATTTCAAAAATGAGTAATTGGAAAAACCCAAATAACTGGTATTTTATATTTATTGTATTGACCTTGTGATTAATGTTGCCTTTCTACTTACCTAAAACTTTCTATACTAGGCATTGGTGGGTGAAAAAAAAAAAAAATACGGTTGAAACTAATATAACATTATAATGGAACTTTTATCGATATCAAATTTGTAAATTAGGACCACTAAAAACTGTTTGAAATGGGCCAAAGGATATTTTAAAGAGCGGTTAATCGGTCTTAGCGCTGAACATGAAGGCATTTCGATAAAGATTTCGGAGATAACCCAATGCTCCGGAGACGCAGATTTGAATCAGAGAAAGGGAAAATTGATCCCATTCATTGATTTAGTGATAGAATTGGCTTGGTGTGGTGAGAAAACTGGTTAATTTGTAATTTATTAGCTCAGGTATATTTCGAAATTTTACGAAATTGAAAAATAGCCACTGCATCGGATGGCACCGAAGTTACAGGAAAGATTCGTATTCCTGAACTTCAAGGCACAGAAGGGGATTGTGAGGTAAGCAAATAATTAAAATTGTATAAAGTATATATCATGATTTAATAAATACATTTAATAGTTTCAAATTAGTGTTGACGATGAAACTAGTGATAAAGAACTCATTAAGGAAGTAATCCGTAACCATCTGACTCCTTTGATAAGCGAAAAGTTTAAGAATTTTGGCAAAGATATGCTAGAAAGTACGTGACAAAAGTTATGACAAAAAGTTATGATCTATTATATTTTAATAGTTTTAAATTTATATTTATGTCTCTCTTCAAACAGCTCATAGTAAAGACGTTTATATTGAACCTTCTCAACTTGGTGAGTCTACTCCACCACGATCTGCAACGCCAATTGAGTCTGCAGGAACTTCTCAATCGCCGGCTCCTATCGCCACTTCGATTGGATCCACGGTTACAGCGAGCACTACCAAACCCAAATTCGTGAACACCAATACAATTAAAGAAACAGTCGAACTGCAAACTTCGGCAGACCAAGTCTATGAAACTTTACTCGATGCGGGTCGCGTTGCTGCCTGGACGAGATCAAGGCCTGATATCTTTCGACATGTTGGAAGCACCTTTAGTTTATTTGAAGGAAACATTACTGGAACCATTCTAGAACTAGTGAGTTATAATACATGCGTTTGATCAATTTATAAAATGTAAACATTAGGCGCATTATATTTTATGAAATGTCGCTTTTTTTTTTTTTTTTAAAGGATTCAAACAAAAAAATCGTACAAACTTGGAGGCTGAAAACTTGGCCAGAAGGTATTCAACAATTTTTTAAGAAACGTTATACACTTGACGCCGTTAATATCAACTTCGTTAATATCAACCTAAACTATAAAATGAATTCTATATATTAAAATTATATTAAAATTGCCTCATATATATCAACTTTAATATGATCACTCATTAATATCGCTATCAACATGAATATAAAAGTGATCCAAATGGGTTGATATTAGCGAGGGTCGAGTTTAGTACATCTTTTATCTAAAGTTCTATGTTAACTTGTAATCGTTAAACCATTTAAGGTCACTTTTCAACGGTCACTCTAGAATTTGAACAAACAAGTGATTATACCCTTGTCAATATCACTCAAAAAGGCGTTCCCGTTGGTGAAGAAGAAATTGTCAAACAAAACTGGCAAAATTATTATTGGAATCCCATTAAAAGCGTTTTCGGGTACGGATCAATCTCTCAACCAATTAAAATACCTCGTAAAACTAAAAATAGTAACAAGCGTAGGAATATTAGTAACGAGGGTGGTGGTTCTAATTATATTATTGTGGTGGCTATTGTACTGACTGCTATTGTTTTGGGGTTTGCGTTTTCATCACGTTCGTAGATATGGTGCGCTCATATGATGCTGCAAGAAAATTTGTATGCAAGAAGAACGTTCTTCCCGGTGGTAAATGTTTTATCGATCGTCTGCGTTTTTTTTCCTAATTCAATCTCTAAATATTGTTTCTGCGTTTTCCTGGTGTTTACAAATTTTCATTTAGCCGTTTCTCCAACGAACAATGATTTGATCTCTTGTAACCTTACATTATTATATATATAGAGAAAAAACTATGGGTTTCACTTTAGAATTATTTGACATTGCTTAGCATTTTTTATACAATTTAAATTATAATTTCCTCGTCTGAAGATAAATCTTTTGGAAAACAATAAAATTTGTGTACTAATTTTTGTTCAATATACACCATTATTTATCA